ATTACGGTTAATGTTTTGTTTGCAATTATTTTTTAAGTTTAAATTCTTAATCAAATGAAGGTTTGCGTCGAGAAATCTCTAATAAAAGTTAGTAATTTAGTATTACTGTTAATACCATACACTGTATACATTGAGACAACTGGTAGAGTACGGTATTACGTTAATGGTAACTATTAGTCTTATGTGAGACATTGAAACCAGTTATGCAGCACTTAACTTTTATATACAGTAATATAAACTAAAGTACTCGTAATTATTTTAATTTGCAATATACAGTACTGTCCCGAAAATGGTGTGACAATTTACAATATTTTATAATGTAATACCGGTGCTATGAATGAAATGCGATTTAATTTCAAGTAAGTTATCCAAAAGAGTTGATCTGTCAGAAACTGGTGTCAAAAAGGGTTTACGTATAGGGGGTCAATGCACTGTATGTGATATATCGGTGTAAAAGTATGGGAAAGAATCTAAAACTTCATAATAACTTGCTAACTATATCAATAATAATGGATTAATATTATCAATATTATACATATAGTACAATTTACATTATAAATCAGTTAATTGTAATGCTGTATTTTATAAATTATTTTAGAGCTAAACTTTAAAAAGTTTAACAAAGTTAATGTATGTGGGAACTGTATAAGTGAAAAGTTTGTATAAAGATTTGAAAAGTATTTATGACTTATAATTATTGACTAACTTAACTATATTACTTCAGATATGATAAGAAATAGTTATTACAAATTATAATAAGTTTGTAACTCATAGGAAAGGTATTGAAGTGAAGATTTGGTGATTGAAATGGATATGAGATGAGAGAGTGGAGTGAATAGCAATAGTCTATCGTAAACCCAGTGCTCACTCAACGCATACAATAGTGTAATGCTATAGACGTCCATATGTAGTGACAATACATTGCATACATTGCAGTCATTCATAACATTATATCCATTCGTCTACTACTTAACACTCATTTGTAAATCAATTGCTTTTATATTCATATGATTTGAGTGATTGTCAGGCAATACCACAAACACTACCATCGATAGAGTGAAGTAATAATAATGACAATGAGTGAAGACAAGCCTCCCATCTGTGCGAACCTGATTGTGCCCGTCCTCATCAGACCCATCATTCATAAGGTATACCACTCTTTGCACTCTTATATCACTCATTGTCTCAATGGTGTGGATGCAGATCGAGAAACACGACCCGATGGCCGCACAAACCCTATTGAATGCCATCAATAAGGTATTGATCCCATGAATGGATCCCATGAATGGATGATATGAGATGTGATGACTGTATTTGTACGGATAGGCTGAGGCGACAGAACCGGGGATTATGTTGGATGTGGTGACCAGTATTCTCAAGAGACGAGATCTCAACGTCAATATAACCGAGTCTTTGCTCAAACTTCAGGGACATATCCCTGAATTCGATGGTAACACCACTTATCCATCACAACAAACATAAGTCTCAATTTAAATGTCTTCTCAAAACAGACCATAAGTGTAAACGCCCTGAAGAGCTGTTTCAGGACTTGAATCGCAAGACGTATTCCCTGAAGAAGATTTTGAGCCGAATTCCCGATGAGATCAATGACAGGAAGACTTTCCTCGAGACCATTAAGTATTGCTTTGAGACAAATATAGTGATTATAGCGAATGCATGAATTGATTCCTGGTTTTGATCCACAGAGAGATCGCCAGTGCTATCAAAAAACTATTGGATTGTGTGAACGAAATATCTAATAGTCTTCAGATAACGTCCCCTTCAGACAAGAGAGCCATCGAGAATCGGAAGCGAGACTTCATTAAAGACTCCAAGAAATTCAGCCAAACTTTGAAAGAGTTTTTCCGAGAGGGACAGTAAGTATTGAATTGAATGTTTGCTGTAATTGCCATTCAATTATCTTAAGTATGTGTTAATCATGTGATTGATTGTGTGTTTGTCTCCAACAGAACGCAAACTGTGTTTCAAAGCGCAGCACAACTAATATGTGCCACAAATACTATCCAAAGAACTGTCAAAACAAAGTTTGATTCAAAATGAGTACTAAATTGTTGTTTGATATACCGTACAATCAAATGAATAACATATGAAGGATTGAATTTTTAATATATTTATATATAGTGTTAACAAAAGACTTACTTTCCATTTATTAGAAGATTCCAAGTTATGGTTAATCGGATATAAAACAAATCTATTATTTAATCGAATGATAAATTATTTTGATATTTAAATATTTGCATATAATATGAGTCATTAATAACTCATCAAAACATTTGAAGATTTAAATTTTAAATAAACTTTCAATTTTATTTATTTTCATTAAAGAATTTGTAATTTTTTAGAAATCAAACATTAAGTATAATCTTAAATATACAGAATAAGCATAAATTATATTTTGTGACATTATTGTGACTCCCATTCGAAGATAATTTTAAAAATATCTAAACTCAAAAAATTCTAACAATTATCGTAACAAATGCCCTGATCATCGTAAATGTCATACATAGCCAAACAGAACGGAAATTGTGTTATAAATGTGTTATACAGTACAGTATATATTGTAAACTTAAACCGAATATAAAAACCAAATTGAGTACATTATAAATATCACACTAAACTGTGACTACATTTTCAGAACTATGTTTACAATACAAGTCGTGATAAGTATTTTGAAATATAAATTACAGCATTAGGTAATAGAGTCCACTATAGGATGTCCTTAAAAATAACTCTTTGGGTAAACGCTAGTTAAGATCAATGACTCAAAATGAGATAAAATTATGTTAATCAAATCACTGGTGACTTCTGATGGCAACTTTCACCCCACTGCACACTCCACACTCGTGAGTAAACCAAGGGAAACGCAGCACTTCTAACTGCTAAACCTTGAGTACATAGGGTTGCGGTGCGAACTCCGAGAAGATTACCTTTCCATTGGACTCATCGATGCTTCGCTTATACACTGAAATGTAACCATATTTTGGCATTAGATTTGAGCGCAAAAAGTCACAAATGGTGAGTGAATTACCCGGAGATGTGATTCTTTCCAAGCGATATGTGGGAAGTTTTGCACATTCCCTCCCAATATAATAGCCTAAGCTCTTAAAGTCGGTGATGGGGGGCGTCACCACTCTATACATATCTCTCACTATCTGTGTGTTGACATCAATTATCGGCCAGGAGTAGAAGTGGTGGTTTAGTTTGTCGCTAACGCCGCCTTCCTGAACTGAGGCTAACTCCCCGTCTTGCTTTGTGGCCGGGAGGAGATGTAGATACTAAGGGCAGTATAAGACAACGCAAAGCAATTAATTCTTGTAATTAGTATTAAGACATTGGTAAGCAAGTGATGGTTCGCGAGGGCACACCTTAGCGAAGTCGTGCACAAAGCGACCTCTCCTTCCGTGGGAAAAGTTTGGGACTTCTATTCTCTCGTATTGTTCGAACTCAACGTCGATATCAAACTCTTCATCGAAATACTGATTCGATTCGGAGAGCAAAGAGTCGTCGACTGATTCGCGCATCTGTTTCGCCAAATCATTAATCATTGTCTCGATGTTAATGTTGTCCTGCTTTTGGGCATCAAATACAGGATTCGATGCTAGAGTTCGATGCATTTCCTCGTAACGACTGGAGGGCTCCACATAAGGAATACTACACCACCCTCTGAAGTGTCGCAACTGTCACCCAATTGGTCACAAAAGACATATCATATAAAAAGGTTAGTTAATTTCTGAATTACTTCTGTATGCGCCATAACGCGCTTGACCGCCATGTCTATTTACGGCGGTTGCTAAGGTCACCAGTCGTGGTCTTCACGCCAGTTTCACTGTGTTTCTCACCAGTCTCTATTGACCCGTTGGGCTCGAGACCGGAGACTCGCCAACGAAACAGTGCTTCCGCTCTCCAAATCCAACTGTCGATAAAAAACCATATTTTCATTTCAAGATCACCTCAAATATCAATTTTCAAAGAATAAGAGATTTATTATTCATTACATTGTTATACTGTATACTCCAATAAACCTATGATTCTGATAGGAATTGAAATAGTTTTACAAGTGCTAACATTTGAAACCAAATATCGATTATTCACTGAAATTCAATTCAGTACCAACACATACTAAGGACTTTGGATTACATATAACTATCATATTATAAAACTTATAAGTTATAACTTTATGTCAAAATATTTGAAACACATATTTATGTTTTGAAATTCATTATTAATCAAAATGTAATGCAATATTCTGTTTACAATGTTTTAAATACTGTATTTAATATTTGCCATTAAGTCTATAGGTTTTGATAGAAATAAACTAGAAATAGAAATGATAAATTAAATGTACTTTATTAGAAATGCAAATCTAAACTAAATTATCTGTAATGAATGCCTACACTGACTGACATTGTATGAGATTTGACATACAGCAATATATGCTTGCATATATGCAATACAGTATTATAATTCAGTGCATTTAAACAAATATTTATTTAGCATATTATTTAAATAGCATATCAGATGTGATTAACACGATTTGGTGGCAAATGAAAAGAAATTTCAGTTTCAAAATAAACGTTTAGTTTGCAATCAATTGGTTGAGACATTGTCTTTGCCTCTCATATCTAACTGATGGCAATGAATACAATCTGTGGTCACAATTGGTCGCATAGTAAAAGGCAAACAAGAAATGAGTACAAAATCATATCTACTGTTAAGACTGCAATCATATGAACACAAATACAACACAAATTCATATCTAATGACAGTATTGTATGATATGTTTGAATCGATAGCGAGTGTGACGTCAATCACTAGTCCATCACGTATTGCATCCCAATTACAAGACATTCAATTCAATCATATTTAACACAATTATCGTCACCACAACACAATCCATACACCAATTCACTGCCATTTACACACAAATCAATACACATTCAAGCATATGATATATGTATAGACGGGTCACATGTATGGGGTAATGGGATGTGTTGTGGTGATCATATCATCACATGACATGTGGTGGACATACCTGCGGAGCAGTTGGATCCACTAATGGCTGTTTCAAATCATTTTGTTAACTAACGTTAAAGAAAAGTGAGTTGCGAACTCAGTTTTGTCAGTAACAACTGCTAACTTCTGTTACACAGAATTCTACTGATAATGACAATCAATACCGTGATTACATAGTGACTAACATTACTGAGCTAAACACAATGCGATTACAATTACTGCTTTTTATCAACACAACAGCCAAACAGACATTGAGTCAACACTTTCATCCATTCATCAAACAACGCCTTCCCTACCAATCAATGCACACCTCTATCAACACCTCTACCCATTTGACTGCACTTTCAATTAAAAACTTTAGTTTTCGTGATTCACTTCAAAACAAACTCTCATTTTCATGACTCTTTTGACAATTCATTTGTTTGTCATTTGATTGCTATTTATTTGCTATCAATATATCATTCATTCAATACATTTAACCCGACGTTCACTTCATAACCATTTGACGGCTTTGTATGCATTTTGTGCTCAATATTGACTTTCATTTCATTTGACAATTAATCACATCTTATGACAACTTATGTAATCATTGATTATCTTCCTCTGCTTTAGTTGTGGTCATAACTGAGAAATTGGTCCCAAAATGAATTCACGCGAAGAAGTGATCTCTCCTTATAATGAAGACGAAGAGATAGTGAGACCACTAGTGGACCAAAGTGGTGATCCATCCGATGCGAGTACTCGTGATATAGTGGTGGACACAACCGGTTGTATGTCTTCACCGCTGTGTCACCCGTCATATCCTCTGCACAGATATTTCGTACTCGTCTTCATGTGTTTCTTAGGCTTCGGTATGTCTTGTCATTACTTAAACCATTATCATAACAGTAGTACTCATACGGGTTGTCCAATGGCTGTATGGCCGGACAGGTAGTTATTTCTGTTACGACGGACCGGGAGCTCTGCAAAAGGAGATCACCGAAGACATGGGTATACTTAAACCATTATCATAACAGTAGTACTCATACGGGTTGTCCAATGGCTGTATGGCCGGACAGGTAGTTATTTCTGTTACGACGGACCGGGAGCTCTGCAAAAGGAGATCACCGAAGACATGGGTATAGCGACGGAACAGTTCTCACAACTGTATGCGTGGTATTCGTGGCCTAATGTCATACTTTGCTTCTTCGGTGGCTTCTTAATCGACCGCTTGTTTGGGATCCGTTTGGGAGCAATCATTTTCAGTGTATTCATACTTATAGGACAAGTGGTGTTGGCTTTGGGCGCCTTTTTCAACCACTTCTGGCTCATGAATTTTGGCCGATTTATGTCAGTTTGTTGTCATATACAGTAATGCATTGATTTCAGTGACAAGTAATTGGTGTTTGTTGTGGACCTCTTAGCTTCGGAATCGGTGGCGAATCCCTGGCCGTCACTCAGAATACATACGCCGTCTCGTGGTTTAAGAACAAAGAGATTAATATGGTTTTCGGTCTTCAGCTCAGCTTTGCTCGAGTGGGCAGTACTGTGAACTTCAATGTGATCGCACCGGTCTATTACGCGGTCGCCAAGTATATGATTGGGAGCCGAGGCAACGCCACACTCGGCATCACTCTCCTGATGGCGGCCACCACTTGTGTCTTCTCTCTGTTGTGCGCTTTTATTCTCGCATTTTATGACAAGAGAGCCGAAAGAATACTGAAACGATCGGCCGCTCAGACCGGAGATGTGGTCCGAATGACTGACGTCAAGGACTTTAAGATCTCCTTTTGGCTCATTTCTCTCATTTGTGTCACTTATTATGTGGCGATCTTCCCGTTCACTGCATTGGGAGGGTTTGTATTAGTATTTCACTATTCAATCAATCATTTCTAATATGAGTAATATATTTGTAAATATTCTGTATTTCAAACATAATTTTAGGACTTTTTTTCAAAGGAAATACAAATTTTCTCACTACGAGGCCAATGGTGTCGACAGCATTATATACATAATATCTGCTGTTTTATCGCCATTTTTAGGAATTCTGGTCGACCTCACGGGTCGTAATATAGCCTGGGTTTTCATTTCAGCCATTATTACATTATTGAGTCATTCAATACTCGCATTCACTTTTATAAATCCCTGGTTCGCAATGGTTTTAATGGGAATCGGCTATTCAATACTAGCCTGTGCTCTGTGGCCAATGGTTGCTTTTATCATATCTGAGCATCAGTTAGGAACCGCTTATGGTGTTATGCAATCCGTACAAAACCTTGGCTTGGCCTGTATTGTACTCGCGGCCGGCGCTATAGTAGACCTCAAGGGTTACATTGTATTGGAAGTGTTCTTCTTGATGTGGATTTGCTGTAAGTTTTCACTCTTGTTATCATAATATTCGATGGACTCATGAATTTTGCATTTTCTTGTTTCTCATTTCAAAAGTGTGTATCATTTTTGTAATCATTTTGTTTCTGAGCGACTCTAACAACGGGGGCTTTCTTAACATGTCTACTAAACAACGAAAACAATTGTAAGTTTTTAAGAAATCTTTTGATTGTAGAAAATTATACATACAGTATATGGGGTTTATATTAAATGGCTAATTTTGAATCAATGGCTAATTTAGAGAAGTAGAGCGTGAAAAACAAACAGCAGTCTCATCAGCGCCGCACTCATCTCAAGATCAGATTTACAATTAAGGAATCGTAATACGACTAGAAATGAACCAAGGTATTATTTGATTTGAGTTGATTTACATTTTTTCAAAATTTGCATTGATTAAATTTATGTAAGTTATAGTGTGTTAAGTTATTTAAATTTCATACTAACAATGTATTTTAACTTTATATCTAATCTTTTGTAAATTGAGTATAATTTGCATTTTATGTATAACAGGAAACTACACAATATTTCATCTCTGGATTTAACATTAAATTAAGACCAATGGAGTGAATTATATTTATTATTGTAAATGATAACTATTGCCTCATTATGGATGCCATCACCGATTGAGTTTCAATTGGATTTCAGATTCAATTAAATAGTCATAAAAATAATTCAATTAAAGTAACAACCATTTATTTGTTATCAAATGTGATTTTTTGATATAAAAATTTAATATTTTTGTGTGTCAATTTATGTGAATTGCATTTATAAATATATATCATTATATTAAATACAGTATAATGCAATTTAATTGTAATTTTATTTTTACAAAATATTCTATTAAATTATATTCTATGATCAAATTGAATGAATGACTGTTTAGTGTTTGTAATGTAATGTCTTTATTAAGCCTTTCTTCAAATCCGTAATATTAAAGACAGTTATAACTTATATTAAAATTAATGCATTGTTTTATTATATAATAAATCAAATTTTGTAATAGAAGTGAAAAGCCTTGAGTTTATTTGCAGTGAATCTTAATCTTACAGTAAATATACGGTATATATATTAATAGTAACTTATATTGATTACTTTTACCGTAAAAATGTTTATTAAAAATAGAAGTTGTTTTTTATAATACCCTATTAGCTGTTTCCTAGAAAATCCAAATTAAATGAGATTTTTAAAATTAGAAATAAAAATAAAGTTTATATGATATACGATCTGTTCATAATATTCAGTTATAAAGTATAAGTTATTTTCGATATATTTCTTTAAATAAAAATTTCAATTACTTTTATTACAGAATAAGCAAATATAATACATATAATAATAAATTGTTGTGTAATGTGTTATCAAATTGTTAGGCAATGAGTAGTTTTATTAGATTTTCTCATATATTCCTCTTATTTATTGACTCGAGTTATGACTAAAACTCAATTAACTTTGAATATAGAGTTTATGTCTTTGAAAATCAATACAAAACAGGAATTTATATGAATTGCCTTTAAATAGAGGCTTCAAATGGACCCAAATATGAAGTAATGAATAAAAGGATGACTTTTTATATGTCATGTATTCATCACTCGAATGATGAGAATCTCAAGAATTTGTTCCAATTATTGAATGAAAGACTTTATGACATTGAATGGCAAACAATGGATGAAAGACTGAATAATTGACGAATCAATTCATTCTTTTGTCTATTCTTTGCGTTTATTATGAATTCATTAAATAAGGGATCACTTGATCTGATGTCCGACTAAACGTCTAACCATTGACTGAATGCAGTAAAAGTGAAGCAAAGGATACATGAATTGAATAGTAATTAGAATTAAAGGCAAATCGAGTCATACGTTGAGATTAGAGACGCACTCTTCGATGCGTTCAATGAATGTATGAATAGTTTGGATGCAATTGAATGTCATTTCACTTCCCATTCATCCGACGGTTGAGTCAAAAGAATTCACTTTTGAGTCGAATGTAAAGGAAATGCGTTTCAATTGATTGACAACCGATGGACTCATCGATGGACTCATTCGGGATCAATGGTACCACTGATGACACCAATCAGTGGCAACACATCTCAGAGCCCACGAGTGAACAGCCGTCGGAAGAGGTGACGGATGCGGCCACTGATGACACACTTCTCGAAGATATCGACGCCATTGTGGGCACAGATGTGCGCTATCTGTGCATCAGTTGTAGTGATGGAAAGTGTGGATCAGCTCTCTATGACTTAAGCGATCGATCCATTCGAGTGATGCCCGAAGTGGAGGACAATAGCTATGAATCAGTGATTCTACTGGTGATGGAAACACATCCCAATCATGTGATCATTAGTTCCAAATGCGACCCAAAACTGGTCGATATGTTGAGTCTATTTGTCATGAATACAGACATTCAGATGGACTCCGAGTGTCACTCAAGCGCTTCCCAAACGGTTGCCACCGAAGAGTCAACGCAAAGAGCAACTGATTGTGAAACCAATAGCCAGTCATCGGAGGAATTGTGGCGAAAGAGTCATTCGTTTGCTTTACACACCGTTCCTCACAATCTATACGACTTCGAGAACTCGAAGACCAGAATCCTATCACTGGATCTCCAGAAGCTGTCAGACATTGACTTCGCGGACGAAACGCAGAAATTTGTGTTCATTTCATCGATGGTTGACTTCTGGGACAACAATACCTTCCGATCCTTCGGAGCTTTGCTTAGATTTCTGGACAAGAATTGCATTGAAATCCAAATGCAAACCATGGACTCAACGGTTGAGATCTCAAGCATTTCGCGCCTATATTTGGAGGGAATGGTGTCCATCGACCGCAACACTTATGAATCGCTGCAAATCTTTCAACAGGAATGGCATCCGTCGGCCGCCAAACAGGGAATCAATCCGAGGGAAGGACTCAGTCTTTACGGTCTCTTCAACTGCTGTGTCTCTAAAATAGGATCCAATTGTTTGCGACAAATATTTTTAAGGCCGACACAAGACATCGACATCATTATGGATCGACAGAACACCATCGGGTTCTTTGTTGAACCAAACAATTCTGGGTTTAGAGATAATCTGATCCAACACTTGAAGCACATCAAGAGTGTCAACTCAATCTTCAACCGACTCATGACAACCAGTTGTTCCGTTAAAGACATCAAAACTCTTTGCGATAATTTAGTCAACGCTTTGAGAATAAGAGAACTTTCTTCCCGACAAAACTCTAATCTAAAAATCTTGGATCAAATCAGACAAACATTTACTCTTGAGTTGGAACATTTGGCCACAATTATCATAAAAGTGGTTGACTTCCAGACATCATTGCGAACGCAAACGTTTGAAATCAATAGTGGGATCGACTCGGAGTTGGATCACGCGAAGGGTGTTTACAACGGATTATCGCTAATACTCTCAAAAGTGGCCGACAGTGAGAGAGAGGCTTACGGACACCTTCTGAAGGAAGTGCACTGCGTTTATATCCCACAAATCGGATTCATGACCAGCGCTCAAGACTTAGGGAATGCCTCTTCAATACTCTCACAGTTTAATGACGTGGAGGTTGTGGTGAACGCCAACCGACAAGTTTTCTTCAAGAACTATAGGACTAAAGCATTGGACGATCACTTCGGGGACATTCACTCTGAGATAACTGACCGACAAATTCAAATCGTTAACCGATTGAAAGATGTGATCAAAGACTATAAACCATTTTTCGATAGAATAGAGTACTTGTGTTCAAAACTAGACGCTCTCATTGCTATGTCTCAAACCGCTCTTCATTATCGATACACTAAACCAAACATTACAAGCGATGGTGTGATTGAGATAATAGAAGGAAGACATCCTCTCATAGAACTGGTTTCGAAGACATTTGTTGCGAACGACTTCTACAGCGGCGGTCAACACAACAAAGTGAAGATCATTTCGGGACCGAATGCGTGCGGGAAAAGTGTTTATTTGAAGCAAATCTGTTTGATTGTGTTTATGGCTCACATCGGAAGCTATGTGCCGGCGCTCAGAGCAAACATCCCGATCATCGACCGACTGTTCACTCGACTTCACACTCCGGAGTCTATTTCGATGCGTTTGTCTACATTTATGTTGGATTTGAACCAAATGTCAAACGCCACCAAAAATGCCACCAAAAGATCATTAGTAGTGGTCGACGAGTTTGGGAAAGGGACCCAATCGGTGGACGGACTCTCACTAATGGCCGCTTCACTCAATCACTGGCTCTCAACAGATACCCCGCATCTACTCGTGTCCACTCATTTTCGTCGCTTACCTTCGCTTTTAGTAAATCATAATTTATACGATTGTCAGACCTTTCAGTTCAGTCGAGACGAGACGCAAATGACTTATTTGTTTAAACTAATTGACGGACACTTCAACCAAAGCATAGCCTCTTATATCGCATATATAGCGGCCATTCCTCTGCCTGTCATTGAAAGAGGTCTACAGATATGCGAACGAATGTCTTTGAATGAGACGATTGAACCGTTAAATAACGATGAAATGAACCAAAAGTTCAGTGAATACGAGGTGATTGCCACCAAATTATTAGAGCTGGACATGAATTCTGAACCACAAGTTCAACAGTTCATAGTCAATGAAGTTCTTAAGCAAAAAATTAAATAATTAACAATTCTATCTATAAATTATTCATTCATTTATTCTTTATTTATATCCAATTCTGTTTTTTAATTACATTTTCATCTATTTAAATAGTAATCACTGAAATACTTGTTTGAAAACATTTATTAATAATTAATGCCATTGTTATTAAAGTTCTATGAAATCAATATTGTACGACACTATTTGATAATCTATTATGTGTTTTTAATTAAATTTGTAAATCTCATACTAATTCACTGTATTTTAATGTAGATTTTCTATTATTTCTACGAATTATGATATCTAAATATCAAATATGAAATTAATATCAAATGCTTTGAGTAAACAAAAAAAAATTCAGAATTAGAATAAACGATAGATTTTCTAATTTGTTTATAAAGAGATAGAATTCACATCAGATATAAGCGAAAGAGAAAATCAATAAAACATTTTAGTCTTCCCTTTACTTTAGGCTTTGTTTGGGTAGTAATGGAAACAGAAGTGAACCAAAAATATATGAATAGATTCACAAACCGATCGATTCTACGGTTTTCTTCTCTGTTAAGAATCGTATGCCAGGAAAGGGAGGGCTCACTAACAGTGCTCTCCATTTACTTTTCACATACCTGTCCAAACATTTTATATTTTTTTTATTTCTAAAAGAACTTATACTATTTGGTAATTATTCGAGAGATTAAATTGTATTTTATTGTATAATTTAATTGTTTGAAAATTAAGTGTTAAAATCTATTGTCTGTGAAGTGCACCTCTGGTTTCAAACTGAATGGTAACACCTAATGGGTGGCACACATAACGCGCCTCCGTGTATGCCATCTGAGCATATCTTCGAGTTAACAGTCCTTACAAACTATGGCTGAAGTCTGGCTCTCTATTCGAGAGATTGTTTCGTGAAATCTCTATATTCTATTGCTTTTACTATTATTTTTCATTTCAATCATTTGAATATTGATTTGAAAATATAAGTCGTGTTATAATTAAAATTAAATAATTTCCTTCAATGACATTAAGGTTATAAGTTACTACAATTGCAATTCCGCGCAAACCTTATTATATGAACACAACTCAAGAATAACAGTTTGGTTTAATTTACAATAATTGCTATTCATGTAATTAAAGTTTACTTTCAAATTACAGGTAAGAGATTTTATAAATCTATAAATAACTTTTTAAAATATAATTCTACTTATTGAAAGTAACTGCAGACATTAAATATGTATTGAATAGTTGTCATTGCAATTTATACTACGCTATAAATATTATATGAATCCACATATTGTGAGCCAAAAGAGGGTAAAACTAATAAATATCTTTAAAATTCAATTTAAAACAAAAGCAAAATATGAGATCTCATGAGATGCCGTAAAAACCTCTTTCTGGCATAACATATATGAAATACACACCAATTGAATGCTAAAAATGTTGTTTTGAAAATAAGAAATGATATGTTTGCAAATAACATCATAGTAAAATTTATATCATTGTATGTCTGATAAATACTAGAAAAAGGAATAATAGTTTTAAATTAAATTTATACTCAATTTTATTTTATTAAAAATTTATAGCTTATAAACCGTTTCCAGTGTTTTGCGGCTATTCTGCTATTATTTCAAAGAATTTGTTTTTAGTATTGTGTTTTAAAATTCGATCAATAATTTACATAAATTAAAATTTATATAAATTAATAATAAGCTAATAAATAAAATAAATATTTTTAATTAAACATATTATGTCGTATGAATAATATGAATAATATTATGATTATTAATAAAATATTATTATTAAAAATAAATGAATTCTTAGGAATAAAGCTATTATGAATGTGCTTAAGTTAATAGACTAATAACATTATCGAAATCTAAAAATAATCGCTAAATTAGTTTTTTGTCATAAATTCATGGGCTGTATATTAAAACGTGAAGTGATTGATGTATTATCGCCTCAAATATAGTAGTATTGATTTTTTGCACTCAAAAACACTATAATTCTTGAGGCATATTTGGCATATTTGCTGAAATTCACAGATTTTGACTACATTTTAATTTTTAGCCTAGAGTTATACTTAGTTTTATCAATTATAATACAATATTCTGTTTAATCAAATACGGTATAAATTATAGAATGAGCGGTCATTTGTAATTAAAGCGGTTTAACTCACATCTATTTTATGCAAAATTAATTATATTTCTTTATGAGAATTTAGTCTTAATTAATAATGCAAACCAAACCCAGTGTTTCTTTAATTATTCATTGACTGAATATAAAATAATTATTTTCCCAAATGGAAATATTTTGCAAATTAAAACAATTATTTTAGAAATTCTGTTTTCGCAAATGGTTTAATTAATCGTCAAATATTGAATTAAATCACTTTATTTTTATGACTGCATGTACAGTATGTATGTCATACTATATTAGACTTGCAAATATACTTTGTTTCAAATCCACTGTTGTATTATGATGGAGTCTATCATATTATTTCATTAAAAATTATACTAAATAAATATAAATCTTTTGAGTTTTAGAATAGCCTTTCTTTATTTATTATCAAATAGTGTGAGTTTTATGTTATTTTTAAAATTTATTTAACATAACATTTTATTACATTTTGTCAGTTATTGTTAGTATTCTTTCCATTAGCGATTAATTCAATGAAGAGCTTATCATTTATTAATTTCGTTAAAAAAATAATGTTATCTCTATATATGTAATAGCAGTGTAAGTCGCGAACAAACTTATCCATTAGTAATGCGTGAATAATATGGTCTCATGTCATGTCATTTACAGCCATTCATAACATTTTGTGACAATTTTTTATAACATAATAATTTACGATTGAAAATCTTAATTTCCTCCGTTCAATAACGTGAATGATTGGCATTAAAGCTAATTCTAGTGAAATGTACACAAAATGTTTGATATATTTTGATTTGTCTTTGTTATAACATCTTATACTTCTAATAACATTTTGTAATACTGTTTCAGCATATAATGTATACTTCCAATAGTTATAGTTTAGTAATTTGTTAAAAGCTCTTTCACTGAATTGATTGATGAGAGGATATATAATATAATATAATTTAAATTAGCCATTCTTATAAAAAAAAGTTTACTAAATAATGCTATATTAGTTTTGCTTAAGTATACTAATAGATGCATTTCATATTTAATTACATTAAATAAATGTATTAGATAGAATTAGATTAGAATTAGAATTAGATAGAATGACATTTCTCGATAGTTTGTTACAATGAATGTTATAGATTAGTTTATAAAAGATTTCTTTTAAATGATTGCTTGAAAGTATGAATTTCTAAAATAAAAACATTTAAAATTACATTTTGTGAAAATGGTAGCAATAATGTATTGAAAATGTCATATTAATACTAATTTTCTAATTCTCGTGTATTATAGAAAATTAATTATACATTATGTGTGTGTGTGTGTGTGTGAGAGAGAGAGAG